TGTTTTTGTTTTTTGTTTTTTTCTAACAGTTTTTCTGGTGGATGGGGGAAATTCTTTGTACTTGCTTTCTGAAAGACTTTCAGCTCACATTCTTAATCTGTTCAAACAAAGCAATTTTAGTTGTGTTGTAAGCTGTAAAATATCTTAGTCTATATAATATGTAACCTTTGTAATTGTAAATTAGTAAAACTTTTATGTCCACTGTAGCTAATAGTAATATAATGGTTAATTGTCCTCAATAAGAGCCAAATCTGATAATAGGCTAACCTTCTCACTTTGTAAAGGTCTCTCTTCACTCAGTTATATTTTTGAGTTGGAAAGGCATATTTCTGTTACCCTTTTGAACTAAGCTCAGTATTTACTTTTATGTAAATAACTGACTCTAAAAGAAAAGGGATTTGGGGAATAAGCTGTTGGGAGGAAGAAAAAAGGAATCTACCCAACATTGTTCAAAACTTTGTTCCAAATCCTGGTCCCACTGAACTTTAGTGGTAGCTTAGTTGTTTTGGGCCAAATCCTAGTTCCAATACGTTTTTTAACTCAAGTGTAATGTCCCATGACAAGTTACTGTGCATTTTTACCCATCTATAGCTTATTGCTTAACACATGTGGTTGTCATTCTAGTTTCCAGAATGTGATTTAAACAAATGTAAATAAGAGCTATATGTCATAACTGAAGTCTTAGTGGCAAATTAGTCAATTTCTGCTTGTAATGATTACACAGTTCACTTCAGAAAAACAAGATTCACATACACAATGTAGTATCTTAAAAAACAAGTTGAGTGAGACACTCAGGTCCTCAACCTCATTTTTAAAATTTCCTAATGTGTTGAATTGACATTGAGTAATTAAATGTTGCTTATAACCTTGCTTATAGTAAATTAAACTAACTGGCTTTCTGTGTTTTTTTAAGGTGTCTGGGCATTTACATGGATACACTGAACATCTTTATCCGGGTGGCCACCATGCTTGCCACTGGTGGGAGTAGTAGGAAAAAGTGAATTAAGATTTTTCTTTGCAACCATCTGATAGTTCACCGAACTCTGTCAGCTTAGTGCATATGCCTAGTAAATATGAGTCTGGTGTACAAGCAGCTTTCATGTATAAGTCAGAAGTTTGAAGCACTTCATCATTATTAAGGTGTTTCAGTACAACATGAATCTCATGGACAAGTTTCCCAGTTCTTATGTGAACAGGTCAAATTTGGATTACAGTGCAAACACTTGTACATAATTTGTGATATCTTAATGGGAAAGAAATATATTATAGTAAATTGTATTCTAAACTTAAGTAAACAAAACTAGATCAGTCTGCTTCTCTGAAAGGTTTGACAACATATTATTCTGTAACTATCACTTTTTGCATCTACTGTAATTGCATAGTAAAAAGAAACTGATCTCCAAAATGAGGAATCAAGTGTACAGAAAGGGGCACAAGATAACTCAAGAGACCGATATTGGAATATGGAACCTTGTTGTGATTAAACTGAAAGTGGTATTGTCTGAGAGCTGTTGCTGCTATTTGATGGCCTTTGGGTGACCTACCTGAAAGGAATTAGAGCCCTGTCTACTAGAACTTAACTTAATCTATCACAATTCGTGCCCTTGTAACATCTCAACTGAAATTTTAGAAAGGATTAAGGTGAGCACAGAGAAATACAAAGGCCTTGAAAAGGCAATGCGACCCTTATGGAATGGTGGGCAGTGGTAAAGAAGCTTGTGCTCTTACTACATCTATTTGTCCTGTGGGTAAATAGAACTTCAGCACCTTTCCTGAATATACTTGAAAAATTAGCGTTTAATGTGGCTGTAATGTTTCCAACATCCTTCATGTTCATTAGCTATATCTATGTCTTTGCACTGAGAAGTTAAACTTTGGGAACATCAAACTATTGAAGTGTTGGTTCCAGAACCAAAAAATACTTAGGCTATAATGTGTGTTTTTGGCCAATAAAACCACTATACTGAAATCAACTAAGTTATTTTTGGTGATGGCCTCCTGAGGTCTGAGCTCAGTGACCAGTCCCACTCTAAAATTTGCTTAATGATGGTGCTGGAACAAAGGGAAGTGAACTCTATTCTGCTTTTTTCACCTGTCCTCCAGGCCCCAAAACTAAATGCTATATACTTTCAAGTGCTTTTGCCTGTAATCCTTTGACTCCTCTTCCCAAATTGCTGCCATACAACTGGTATTTTCTTTACCATATTTAACAAAAATGCCCCACTAACATTAATGGTGAATTTCTACAACTATATTTCATTGTTTGTTCTAGTACCATACTTGGTTTGCCAAATACAAGTATTATAAGCTGGGATAACAGGTAAACCTGTGAAAATATTGGGCACAAGCTATTGTTGGCAATCCTTAAAATTAAATGAGGCCTATGTAACTGCTGCTGTACTCAATCTAGTTACCAGTCCTGGCAAAGATCAAATCAGCAATTGAGAAACTTATTTTATCCTTTAATGTGCTATGCTTGTATACTGATTTCTGAAACAATAAAGTCCAAGACCAACAGTTCATTGGTCTCTTATTTAGCCTTTCAAATAATGTTTATACTGTAGTACATTACTTCGTAAGGGCACTGTAACTTCATCTTCCTCCTTCCCCACAGTTCTTCCTCTTATAAGAGAATTAAATGAACAGTGCCTACTCCTTGTGTGGAGTGTCTGCATAATTGTTTGCAGTGGAATCCACAATGCTATTTTTTCCATCAGTTAGATGCATTTTCTTCTCAAATAACACTATAGACAAGGACAAAACTCTGTAGAATAAATGCTAGTATCTTTAACTCATGGTGTAAAGAAGTTTTTTCTCACCCTGTGGAACTACATGGCATAACTTGTGGTGTCACAAAATTTGAGAAGTGCTAAGCAACCTTTAACTAGACAGGACGACCAGCTTCACCTGTAATAAGGAACAATGGCCAACTGTCTCTGGTACTCCAAATGACTGTGTTTGGGGGGAGAGCAGTGGCTTGTCAGGAAGAATTTTGTCACATTCCTTTTTGCCTCAGTAGATTGCATTGCAAAATCTTTTACAGTAGGTACCACTCTTAGAGCACATCTACACTTATCTCCGGAGCAATCGATCCAGCAGGGGTCGATTTTATCGTGTCTAGTGAAGACGCGATAAATCAACCACTGAGCGCCCCCGCCTGTCAACTCTGGTACTCCTGTTATACCAATAGAATAAAAACCAGCAGGATCTTATTGAGAGGGATAAGGCAAAGATGCCACATTTCTCTTTTGCTTTATTATATTTACAATAAAAGTAAACAACGTTGTTTGACTACTTATTCCTATCACTACTTATTCCTTACACACATACATTCACACAATCATTTATTCAAGTTTTGGATAGGTATTATAGTTACCAGCCTAGAAGTTGTTCATGCCAAGTTACTGGCCAGATATTTTGGTCATGAGGATGCAGCTGAGTCCATGTCAGGTGCACCTGATGCTCCTGGAGGTTGGCAGCAGAACCAGAGACTCAAAGTCCTCAGTCTTTAGAGTTAATTCTTTATGGGAACAGTTTCATCCTGCTGTTGCTGACTCAATCAGCAGATGGCACATTCCTGGTGGCTCCACACTGTCCACAGTTTGTGTTTCTCATCCTTCCAGGTGATGGGGTGGATTCCAGTTTATCCTCTGGGGATTGTCTGGTGGTTCACTTGACCCATTCTTCGGCCGATGGATACTCCCTTTCTAGGCTGGCTCCTCCCTAACCGTTTATGGACATCAAGCATTCATCAACATACATTTCATATCTTAACCATATTTTAATTTATTGTCTCCGCCCTTTAATCACAGAGGGTGGAAGTCTGTTCCTAGGAGCTGTTGCTGTTACAATGA